TCTGGTTCATTTGTCTCAGATATTTTATCTTTTTTCTGGACATGTGCCGATATGGTCATCTGCTTTTGCTTCTTGGACATGTTTAATGTTTATCTGTGGCCCTAATAATTAATTATGTGTTTTGGTAATTTTTTATGTTTTCTGATTACCTCCAGGAAGATGTGATCAGGATGTGGGCCTCAGTTGGGACTGGGCCTTGGTGGCAGGCCGTTTGGGCCTCAGGCTGGTGTGTTGAGCCTAGGGTGGGCAGTTTGGGCCTCTGGGGGCCTGGGCGTCAGCGACTGGGCTGCAGGAGGGTTGGGCCTTGGGAGGGTGGTTTGGGCTACGGGCGGGTGGTTTGGGCCTCAGGGGGCCTGGGTATCAGCAGCTGGGCATTGGGCGGATTGGGCCTCGGGGACCGGGCTGAGGGCGGGTTGGGTCTCAGGGGTACTGGGCCTTGGTGACTGGGCTACGCGGCAGGTTGGGCCTCAGGGGCCTTGGGCCTTGGTGACCTGGCTACATGGCGGGTTGGGCCTTGGGGCTTGGCTGAGGCCTGAGTGGCTTGGCTGAGGGCTGGCCTAGACCAGGGCAGTAGAGGGCTGAGGGTAATGGCTGCAGGCGGTAGTGTCTGTATTTGATTACATAAAAGATGCCTCTCTCAGTCTCTCTGTTCCGTGGGTACCCCAAATTTCTTGATATCTGCCCCTATATCCCTCTCTATTTGTTCAGCTTTGTTAGTTTATGCTTCCTTTTCTCTGGAAATGCAGCCTTCTAAGTGGGGTTGCTCTAGCCCTGCATTTCAAGGTCTGCAGGGGGCAGAGGCACTTGCTGGCACGGGCGAGGAAGCAGGAGCCACATGCAGGCAGGCAAAAGCTCAAAATGCCTGTAATTCCTCAGTCATTTGATCTTTTTAAAAAACGAGTTCAGAATGTTGAAATATAAGATCTTATGTTTGTTCAAAGGCTGTCTGTCTGCTAGGTTTCCTATGTGCGATTCTGCCCCTTTTCCCCGAGACTGCCCTACCTTACCTGAGCTTCCTGATCAGGGAAGCGCCGGAAGTCCTTCCGACGCTTTGTTTTTTAACTGTATATTCTTGGCAATATACACTCAACTTTCTTCCGTTCTCCCTTCCTTCCCACATCCCCCTCCCCTTGGATTTTTTACTCAACAAGTATTTATGGACAATTTAGTATTCTCCTGACCCTACACTGTGAACCACAAGGTCGATAGTTCAAACCTACCAGCTGCTCCTTAGAAATCCTATACAGGGTCGCTGTGAGTCAGAACCGATTCAACGGCACTTAACAACAACAACGAAGACCCTAGAGAGACAGCTGTGGTTCTGCCAGTGGTGGCTGAGTGCAACCCTCTAATTGCTGGGAAGAGAAGGTCAGGGTTCCTGAGCTGGAGTGAGGTTGAAGAGGGTGGTGGAGAGTGTGCCTGCAGGGACTGGTACAGACAAGGTGCTGCTGAGACACAAGAGTATGCCTGATGGGCACTGGTGGCCTGCTAGCTTTCCCGCCCACCCCTCTTTGTATTTTAAGAGAAGGCCTTACTGCTTGTCTGCACCCTCTTGGGTGTGTTAATTAAGCCACGCACAGCCATCATTGGATAGCAGATAACTGGTGCACACATTGGTGCTCACCAGGTGCCTCGACTGGGAGTGCTCCCAGGCAGCTGAGCTGCCCTTAACCTTGTCTGCTTTGTCTGTTGGTGCTCCTGGAAGCCGCTTCCTGGGGAGTCCTGGAGCTACGCCATCAGCTTCCTCTGTGCTCCCACCACCATTTGTCGGTCTGGGGTCCTCTCTGCCCTCTCCTGCTGCTAGATGGTCCAGGCCCCCAGTCCGATGACCTTCAGGGTCCACAAGGATACAGAACAGGGATGTTTTTTCTGAAAAGTCTGTAAAGTGAGATCACCATGGCCCCACGTGGAGCGTATTCAAGGCTGGACCTCGGAGAGAGGACACCCACTCAGATCCTGCCATATTGACAGCTGTCAACCCTGCCTTATGTTCACCACGTGCTCACACAGTCCATTGGTGCTGGGGAGATGAGTTTCTGTGATTGGAAGCTGAAAAGTTTCCTTTTTCTATATATTCTTTATCAAAATACAAATACCAATAATCGTATCAAATGTTTATTGAGTGTTTACAATAGATGCAGATCTTACCTTCTGGTAATTAATTAGTGGTTACGAATCGGGCTGTGAACCTTAAGGTCAGCCGTTCGAAACTACCAGCCGCTCCGTGGGAGAAAGATGAAGTTTTCTACTCCCGTAAAGATTTACACCCTCAGAAACCCTGTACAGGGTCGCTATGGATGGGAACCGACTCGACGGCACTTCACAACAACAACCTTCCTATAGTTAAGGCTATGGTGGACAGCCTAAACCTAAAGGAGCCCTGGTGATGCGGCAGCTAAGTGCTGGGCTGTTAACAAAAGGTTGGTGGTTTGAACCCACAAATGACGTCAGGGAAAAAAAGACCTGCCAGTTTGCTACCATAAAGATGACATGGGGCTGTTCTAGTCTGTCACATGTTGTTACTGAGTCGACATCAACTCAGCCGCTCCAAACAACAAAACCTAAGGGTTCAGAAAGACCTTGCCGTGTAAGTCATGAATGTGATCCCAAGAGAGAAGGTGGTTGGGTGCCTCAAGGAGACTCCCACTAGGGCAGGTGCCTGTAGATTAGCAGTGTTTACATCTGTGTGCTGGGAGAGAGGTTAGCCTCTGCTTCCTTCTTTGTATCTTTCAAGGATCCCTCTTACTGTTCCCTATCACCCTTGATACCTGTTCCTAGGTGGGGCCTGCAGGAAATGCTCAGTACTTAAATACTGAGGTCCCTTCTGTCCTTGATTCAAGGCTGGCCTGCTTTGGACTCAATATTCGTAACTGTCTCTGTGAGTTGCTTTACTAATCTCTGGTGCAAGCGTGCTGCTATTCATCTGGAAGGTTCATCACTGCTGGGATGAGGCTTCAGGGATGGTGGATGAGCTTGTAGCTCATGCAGTTGGGACTATATGTCCCTAGCTGACGAAGGCTCAGCCCTGCAGCATACCTTGGGGACTGATGGGCCCCTTGCTGCTGCTCCCGAGTGGGCTGAGAATGCAGCTGGATCCTGTGTGGATCCTATGCAGCTGCCCTGGGGCAATTCTGCTCCATAGCCAGCTGCTGGGAACTGCCGTTTCCCTTCTGTCCTGTGCCTGCTACCTCCTGTGGGTTCAATATACTGCTCCCTGATCCCCGGAAGGTAAGGACCACACTTGGAGCTTTGTATTTCTTGCTTTTTCCAGGTTTTATCACAATGCTTTTTTTTTTTTTTAAATGCCTTTTTTGGGTAACTTTTTATTTTGATATGATTTCAAGCTTACAGAAAAGGTATAAGAATAGTACAGTGGAGTTTTTTATACCTTTTAACTCAGATTCCACTCATAACAGTCTCCTCAGTGGCTTTCTCCACTGTGTACATTTGCCCTCAAGAGGTGAATGTGTGTGTGCACACATGTGCACTCCTTCCAAACCATGTGACAGTAATCGGGTGTCTCTGCATATTGAAATACACTGGGGTGTGTTTGCTAAGGACATTCTCTTACACAATCACAGCATAGTTCTTTTTAAAATCTGCAAATTGTAGCGTGGATGCAATCCTGTTGCCTTTCCTACAGCCTCTGTTCCAGTCTGTCCATATTCAGATATGGCTGAAGTAAAGATGACCCTGGGAGGTGGGGGGGTTCTCTTCTTGGCAAGCATAGCAGGCAGGTGTCTGGGGAGGTGGTTTCCCTGAGCACCCACCTGCAGGCACTGCGTCACCCGCTCTTGTGTCTCCTCCAGGACCTGAGGACTGTGAGTGCCAGGACCCACACTCGGCAACATGTCCGTGGAACTGGAGACATCAGAGGGGCTGGATGAATCAGAGAAAAAGATCTCTGGGGCCTCAGAGCAGGAGAATCATGCCAGGTAAGTGTGGGAGACCTGCTAGGTTCTATCCAGGTGGGCTTACACTGGAGGTGCAGTCTGGGGCGGGGCCAGGGACAGCACACAGCTGCAACTGCTCAGCATTCTCCACGTCTCCAGGAATCCAGACAGGGGCAGGCCTGCTGGGAGTGCCACATATTTAGGTTGGATGGTATTTTGTGTCCTTTTTTTCTCTCTCAGAGTTCTAATAGTGTTTCCATCTGTGCCTAAGAAAGGGTCATCTGAGACCCCATATCTAAGCTGGCCCCTTTGTAGAGAGGCAGGCCTGCTAGCCCTGCTTTTGGATGGGGCTTTTCTTGCTGTGTAGTGCCGCTCATGCTAAGCCTTCAGATACCAGGACTGTTCTTCACTATTTGTTCTTCACTGCTCTTAGCCTCTCATTGTAGCCATCATGGCAAAGCTCTCATCGGTAATTATCTTGAAAGTTAATTACAAGTTCTTATCTTGAAATCATCCTAATAATAATGGAGTCATTCTCCACACGGGGCTGGGTGATACGAGTTGGTCTCCTGAGAAGCCAGCAGAGGCAGATGGTGTGCACAGGAGCCCCTCCCAGTGTCTTTGCCCCATGGTCCAGCCTCATCTGGGGTAGCTTTCTTCAGCAGCACTGACCAGGTCCTGCCCCAGCCCCCTTCTCCAGCCTGTGTTCCATTCCCATCCACCCGGTGTTACCTTCATCTCCTTCGAGAGGCTGGAGATACAGGGTGGAAGGGACACAGGCCCCAGGCCTTTGCAGCTGCTAAATTGAGGAGATAGCCACAAGCACTGACGTGGGTCTGAGGTGTGTTCTCCCAACACCAGGCAGCTCCAGAAGCCCAGTGCAGCTGACTCTCTCTGACACTTGACTCTTAGTGAGGAATAAGCTGTGCTCATCTCTGCTATCTCGGTGTCACCTCCACCTGCCTGCCCTAGCATCCTGGGAAGGCCCTGCTGTCACACTGGAGTGACGTTCCCAGCAATCCCATCTCCCATTGGCTCAGTGACATGCAGAGTTGAAATAAGCACATGGCCTTTCCAGGGGCTGAGAAGGGCCAGTTCTCACACCCAGCTATGCCTCCCACAGACTAGCTGACCTTTCAGAGCTCCTGAAGGAAGGGACCAAGGAAGCACACGATCGGGCAGAAAACACCCAGTTTGTCAAAGACTTCTTGAAAGGCAACATCAAGAAGGAGCTCTTTAAGGTACTTGCCCTCAGTCCCCCAGGGTCATGCGGGTTGACGAAAGGGGCTGCATCCATGGCAAGCTTGGTCTTGTTCAATGAAGCTGTAGTTCTTGGGGCTTAAATGGAGTGACATAAATGAAGCAGAAACATCCATGTTACAAGGAAAACTTCCCTGGGCCGTCAAAGAATCCCCTTTGTAAAGATAGGATGTGAGATGGCGTGTTGGAGGCTAGAGCGGTGTCTTTCTGCTGGGATGTGGGGTGGGGGTCAGCCCCTCTCACAGTCTCTCACTGTCGACAGCTGGCCACCACTGCACTTTACTACACATACTCGGCCCTGGAGGAGGAAATGGACCGCAACAAGGACCACCCAGCCTTTGCTCCCTTGTACTTCCCCACGGAGCTGCACAGGAAGGAAGCACTAACCAAGGACATGGTATACTTCTTTGGTGAGAACTGGGCGGAGCAGGTGCAGTGTTCCGTGGCTGCCCAGAAGTATGTGGATCGGATCCACCACGTGGGACAACATGAACCCGAGCTATTGGTGGCCCATGCCTACACCCGCTACATGGGGGACCTCTCAGGGGGCCAAGTGTTGAAGAAGGTGGCCCAACGTGCTCTGAAGCTCCCCAGCACAGGGGAGGGGACGCAGTTCTACTTGTTTGAGAATGTGAACAATGCCCAGCAGTTCAAGCAGTTCTACCGGGCCAGAATGAACGCCCTGGACCTGAACCTGAAGACCAAGGAGAGGATCGTGGAGGAGGCCAACAGGGCCTTTGAGTATAACATGCAGGTATGCAGGGCAGCAGGGGGGGAGGTGTCGCATTGCTGGAACTGCAGAGTTCATGGATGTTGCTGTTGTTAAGTACCATTGAGTCAGTTCTGACCTATAGTGACCCTGTATAGTTTCCAAGGAGTAGCTGGTGAGTTTGAACTGCCGACCTTGCCGTTCAAACCGCATTAACCCACAGCGCCACACCAGGACTCCAGAGCTCATGGATTGAGGAGGGAAAATCCAGAGCTTTCTAAAGGAATCAATAGAGCCTGTAGCCTGCCCAAGGGGCAGTGGAGGGAAGCAAATTGGCCACCATAGAGCGTGAGACAGGGAGATGGCACCCAGTAGGGGCAGTGTGTTGAGGGGGCTGGTGCTACCGCCTCCCTCACTGCAGGATTTTAGTTTTGAGATGGGATCTCTTCTTAAGTGTTAGCTAGGGTTGCTGTGGAAAGTCCTGTGCAGAATGTTGCAGGAGAGGCAGTTTAACCAGGGTGAGTAGGGAGAGGAACTCCATTTACATGGGGTTGAGTTCTGAGTCGTCTGTGTTGGGGAGAGTAGACATGAGGAAGGGAAATAGCACAGACCTGCTCACTTCTGTCTGTGCCTTGAGGGTTTCAGTTCCTGGGCCATGGTGTCTGGGCGGTGCCCAGGGACCCCTGCTTCAGGGTGGAGTCCCAAAGCTCCCTCATGCAGGGAGTGAGTTTGTGCTGAGAGCCAAGGTTAAGAATTCAAACACTCCTCAGATATTCAGTGAACTGGACCAGGCGGGCTCCATGCTAGCCAGAGAGACTCTGGAAGAAGGGCTTCCCATGCACGATGGGAAAGGAGACGTGCGCAGATGCCCCTACTATGCTGCCCAGCAGGACAAAGGTAGGCCTGGCACCTCCCCAGCTCCCCACTCAAGTGGCACAGCCCCAGCCCTACTAATGCTGCATCTCCTGTTGGTACCACCACCTAGGTGCCCTGGAGGGCAGCAGCTGCCCCTTCCAAACAGCCATGGCTGTGCTGAGGATGCCCAGCCTCCAGCTCATTCTTGCTGTCGCCGTGGCCCTGGTTGCTGGACTAATAGCCTGGTACCACATGTGAAGGACCCCTCCCATCATATCAAACCCACCCCCACCCAACTAAACTACCACCTCAGGTGACACTTTTTTTCAATGCTGGGTTTGAGAAAACCAATAAAAGCCAGACATTAATGCCTCTGCCTGCCAGTGTCCTCTGCAATCCCAGTGTCAAGGTGACTTGGGGGGTCCTCCTTCTGCATCCCCAGCTCCTGGGGCAGTCCTGGACCACCCTCACCTTCTCCCTCATCTCAGCATGGAGGGAGTACAGTGCTATGGGAGGGAGCAGGTACCTGTCAGGAGTTGCTGTACTGCTGGGGAACTGTGATCACCCTGCTCCCTGAACAGGACATCCTGGGAGGTCCATTCAGTCCAAGGACTGTGTCTTCTGACCTGTTTGAATGCTTCAGTGCTCAATAAAATGGATTCCGCATACCTCTGTCTTCTTTCCTGACTCCGGCACAAGTTAGCTTGGGGGGTAGAGCCCCTGGAAAGTAAAGGGTGTGTATGTAATTGTGTCAGCCTTTAGGAGGCCCCGCTGCCACTGAGCCCCTCCTGTAACTCAGACCACCCCAGAAAGACTTTGGAGGGGGGTCTGGGCCTGTTCTTTTCTAATCTCAATGCTCTTGAGGGTTTTTCTTTACTTACTGTTTTTATATACATAAAGATGAAAAAAAAAAACATAAACTTACATAACAATTCACTGATGGTCTAAAATAGAGGTGTGAATTTAAATATTTTTATTAATAGAAATCTTTCACCTGTTTTATGTATTGGAGACCTGTAGAAGTTTATGCAGTCACACAGTGGGGAGCTGTGTTTCAGAGTAGGAGCCAATTTCAGCCCAGCAGCACTGTCTTAGAGAATGACAGCAACTTACCACAGGTGGGTCAGCCCAAGCTCAGGATGACTCCGGTTACTACCCTACATGGGATGCATGGTGTGTATCAGGGAGAATGGGGAGATCGATCTTACGGCTTGTTTGTCGTCACCTGCCCCAGATCTGTTGTATCTGGTACTTCAACATCATTGTAGTCACCAGCCAGCCAGTGCTATGTCAGTATTCTGGTGTTGAGACCAAGCAGCCCACAGTGGGCCTGCAGATGCCCCTGCCTGTAACCACCCCAGCCCCCTTGCAAAATAAGGAAGCCAGGCAACAGAGCAGAGGCCCAGCATAGGGTCGTGCAGGCCGGTTTAATGAGGAATGACAGGCTGAGATCAGCCACGACTCACAGTGGCAGGAGGCCATGCAGCAGCAGGGCAGAGACTTGGGAGCAGGACACACGGGCAGTTAGCAAACCACCACTTGGGAGAGACAGGTGGCGCGTGGGCCCAGGAGGGCCTTCCTATAGGTTTGCACACAGAGCAAGGAACCTCTGTGGACAAAGCATGCAAGGTGCATGGCATTCCTCTCTGACCCTGCAAACACAAGGTCCAGAGAGGCCTGGTCAGTAGGAGGGATCTGCACACTGACTTGGGACGGTCAGATGGGGGCACAGGTAAGTGTCCTTTTGGCTCATCGCAGGGGTGGTGTCCTCAACCCTAACCAGGGCCGCGTTTCAATACCTGAGAGTCTAAGGGCCAGAGCTGGCCATCTTCGCTGCTGACCTTCACGCCCGCCTCTGGCACGCAGGTTAGAACACCCCAGAAACCATTAGGTCCTGGCCTGCTTGGGCCCACCCAACTCAGATGATGCTTGTGCCCTTGGCCCAGTAGACAGAACTACTGGGCAGGGGTTACAGGCCTATAGCACTGTGGCTGCCAGGCTGGGGACACAGGGCTGTGGAAGCAACTACTGTTCTGGCTGCTGGGTCCCGGGTGTAGGGGGTTGTCAGGACCTTGCCTGTGTCTCAGCCAGGGAAGGAGAGGGGAACGAGGACCGAGGCAGGAAGACTGGACCTTTCTCAGCTGATCTCGCTTGCCACAAACACCATGCAAACTAGTGCCATTCCTGCCACCACCGGCCTGCAACCTGTCAGAATTCTTGCCAGGATAGTCAGATGCTTGTGTAGGGCCAGGTGAAGAGCACAGGACTTTCTGGGACCAGTGAGGCAGCTTCTAGTCCCAGGGGGAGGAAGAGTGGGCCACTAAGCACAGGGAGCAGACTGACAGGTGGGGTCGAGTCCAGCTCCGTTAGCACAGGCGTTTGTACGTGTAGATGTAGGCTTTGCAGTTGGGGCACGTGTGGGTCACATCTTTGAAGTCGTTGATGAGGCAGGGGATCAAGCAGCAGCCCAAGTCACATCTATACAGAGATGAGGAGACATGAGGCCTGAAGAGACACGGGGCACTGGGACCCCTCCTGGGAGTGGGGTTGGGCCAGCCTGCAGGCCTTCCCCCACCCCCAGCAAGCTCTGCCCACCTACCCCATGAAGCAGCCTGAAGGCCTTCCCCCACCCCAAGCCCCCCGAAAGCTCTGCCCACGTACCCCATGAAGCAGCAGAAGAAGCCCAGCACGAAGTTCATCAGGCCAATCTCATAAGAGATCTTGGTGGTGATGGCCTGCTGGCAGTGGGGACACACCGTCTGCACTGGAGCACCCTCAAAGATCTCTCCCTGGAGCACTGTCACTGTGGTGGCAGCCCCTGAAGGGACCAGGACTGTAGCAGTGTGGCCTCCAGGGCCAGGGTAGGGTCCAGGAGGGTAGGGTCCTGGTGGATAGTAGCCCATTGGTGGGTGGGGACCTGGAGGTGGGTAGAAACCTGGAATGGGTGAAGACAGGGCAGAGTCAGTAGCATGCCGCAGGCTCTTCCTGCCACACATCCAGAGAGGGTCAGGGGCCAAGGAGGTGTCACCACCACTCAGGAGCCAAGACTGAAGCAACAGGACCTGACAGACACGGCAGAATGGGACGAGAACAGGTTTCCTGTTCTACCTGCTTCCCAAAAGGACACAGCTCCAGACACCAGGTCAGCTCCTGGCCAGCATTCCAAGAGCTGGCACGGGAAGCCCATGGAAGAGCCCTGAGCCTCAGACCACACAGGCCTCTCAGCTTTCGTGGGGAGAAGGCACCTAGGCCAGGGGCCCATCTGGTGCTGGCCCTCTACAGCACCATAGGTGCTTGTGTGACCCCTTCCCATGTGGTCTGTGGTGCGGCTGGCCTGCAACAAAGATAAATCCACAGCCGAGCCTCCCTCTGGATGGTGAGCTGGTACCCTCCCAACTTACCTGGGGGCACGTAGGCACCATCTGTATTCATGTGGGGAGGGACAAAACCAGGCTGGAGCACAGGGTGACTGGGTGGCTCGTAGGGTGGGGGACCGATGTCTGTAGGAGGCAGAGGCAGGCCTGGTGGGGGCTGCATCACGGCGGGGGAGGCACGGCCTGGACAGAGATAGACAACAGAGGCGTAGCTTGGGGCCAGAGGGGACGCTGGCCAGGCAGGAGGTAACTGCTTGAACCATTTGGGGTCCACGGGTGGGGCCCCTGGATGGGGACTCAGGTATGCACTGCCCCTCCTGTGGGTTGGAGGGTGCTTCTGGGCGTTGGTCTATAGAGTGGGACTGGTGGGTAAAAAGAACCCTCAGGAGCTGGAGCCATACCTGAAGCTGGTGGGGCTCCGCTTTTCTCCTCCAGAAGGGGGGCTGTGGGGCCCCCAGGATATGGAGGGGGCGGCTCGTTAGACATCTTCGCTGCTTCTGTTGGAGTTGGAGGAAAAAGCCAGCTATGAATTCCCCACCCCCAACCCCCCCCTTCCCTGTTGGCAATGGCCAAGATGAGGGTCCGACCACCTTCTCCGCAGGTGCCCAAGCCCCAACCTTTTACTTCAACACAAACCTCCAGGTTGAGAGGATGCAGGAGAGGGGTCACTGCATCCCCAGTGGACAGGCCACCCTGAGCCATTCTCTGCCCTCCCCCCCCCAATCAGTTACCCCAGTGCTGTGAAGGCAGTGCCCAAACAGCACCAAAACTGAGCACCATTTGTCCACCAGGACTCCACCACCCCCAAACACAGAGGGAGCTCAGGACATGTGACACCCAAGGCCTCTTGAGAAGGGGCTTACTGGTGGCCTAATTAGGAGGGGGTTTCCTTCTCCCAGGAAATTACTGATTTTCTTTTTTACTTCAAATCCCTGACAAGAAGACAAGATGGCGGGGGCAAGTAAGGGTACTTGGTGTCTGGCCTGGATGGGCAGGTGGTAGCCTACTGAGTTGTGTTAGGAAATCCCATGAGGGGCCTCAGCATAGGGGACCCAGGTGTCCAGAGGACCAGGACCTGGGTACCTCTCCCCGCCACCACACACCAGCATTAGTTCACTGCTTTTCCTCCCTTGTTTACCAAATTCACTGAGCACTGGGACCCAAGAAGCCCTGGGGAGCCATTCCTTGTCAGTCTGTCCCTCTTGGGACACGGTGGTTCAAATGCTTGGCTGCTAACCAAAAGGTAGCGGTTCTAACCCACCCACACAGAAAGATGTGACAGTTGGCTTCTCTGTCATATGAATCAACTAGATGCCATTGTGGTTTTCGTTTTGTTTGTGGTTTAAAAAAAAAAAGTAACAAAAAGATGAACAATGGAAGTAACTCTACTGGTATAGCTGTCTTATATGTGCTTGTTCTTAAGTGCCGTTGAGTTGATTCCGACCCATAGTGACCTTGTATAGGGTGTCCAAGGAGCAACTGGTGAGCTTGAAAACCTTCCCCCCCATTACATCTCAACCATGGGGTGGGGACCTGGAGCATTATAAAGTTGAAATACTAAATGCAGTGAATTAGAGATGGCCAGGCCAGAGGAGCTTGTGTCCAAATTCTTGGGTTCAACTGTTAGAAAAACTGAAGACAAAGACCTGAATTTCAGAGCAAAAGCTATAAAACTTTTAGAAGAAAACGTGTACATCTTTATGACAATCAATTAGGCAATGGTTTCTTAGCTGTAACTCCAAGAGCACAACAAAAACAGATCAATTGGACTTCAAAAAATGGAAAACTTCTCTACTGAAAAGGGTATTCCACCAAGAAAGTGAGATGACCCAAAAACAGGAGAAAATGTTTACAAATCACATCTAATAACCCCACTGCATCTGAGTCAATTCCAATTCACAGTGACTATAGGACGGTGTAGAATTGCTCCCCAGGGTTTCCAAACTGCCACATCTTTCCTGTGGAATGATTGGTGAATTTGAACAGTCAACCTTTTGGCTGGCAGCTAAGTTCTTAACCACTGCACCATCACGGTTCCTTATGTATCTAAAAAGGGACTTGTATTTAGAATCAATAATTCAAAAAAGACACCCCATTAAAGATGGGCAAAAGATATAATTTGATGAACTTGACTTATTCTATGGCTGTAGTAGCTCAAAATAGGATCAATGCTGTCCCCTCTGTATACAGGGTAGATAGGGATGGGCAACTTAGACACTGGCTACCTAAAATGAGGGGGCAATAAAGGCACAACGTGACTGGCTTACAAGGTTTCAAGAGAGAGTTTTAAGTGTGTGGGGGAAAGTAGAGTCCCCACTGAATAGTTTTCATCTTGTCTAGACAGGTTAATGAAAAGCAATGGGGATAAGATTCTTATGATTCAATATTAATTGTTATATGACTGTGACTGTCTCAACTGTAAAGGTATCAGTTTTGTAACAAAAACGGGAGTAATCTTACAGTCCAGAAACAGACCACAAGCAGAATGTGGGACCCTAGCCAGAGAAGCAAGGAGCTCTGGTAGTGTACTGGTTACGAGTTGGGCTGCTAACCTCAAGGTCAGCAGTTCGATACTGCCAGCAGTTCTGCAGGAGAAAGATGAAGCTTTCTGCTCCCATAAAGATTTACAGCCTCAAAAACCCTGTAACAGGGTCGCTATGGGTTGGAACCAACTTGAAGGCACTTAACAACATCCAGAGAAGCAGCGACACCAGAGATGGAGGCAGAGATTAGGACCCTAGACTCTTGGAAAGAGAGACTAAGTGCTGGTGGCCAGGAGGCAGGCTTGCAGAATGTGCCCTTTGGTTGTTTATTATATATTCCTGAGTGTTTTTGTGTACATTCCCGCACGTCTCCCCCCCAGAAAAACAACAACAAAAAACCAGAGGGAATAAAAACCAGTAGGTGGTTCAAATCCACCAGCCACTCCTTATAAACCCTAATCAAGGTCACTGATCAACTCACTGACACACAACAATCTATTAGCAAAAGGTGAGTGCCCAGAAGTGGGTCCCAGGTCCACCTAGGATAGTTCAGCTTGGACGCAGGGGCCTCTGGACAGCCTCAGGGGAACCCACAAGAGCGGTGTTTTCGAGGAGTCCTTTATCTTTCCCAGAGACATCACAGTGCAAGGACCTCCGGAAACAGTCATCCTAACCCTGATGCTAGAACTAGGAACGGTTCTTGGGTGCCACTGTGCTAAGTCTGAGCAGGAATGGCTTGTCCTCAGTGTGGCCCACGGAGCAAGCTTGTCATTGCCATTCCAGAGTGACAAGGACAGAGGCATCTGTGACAAACCCAGGACTGCACAGCCTCACCATCAGGTTCAGGTATCTTCACAAGTCTTTGGTGTCTCTGTCTCCTGGGTTGACCTGTGCTCAGGGCCAGCGTCACACGTGCCCTGGTCAAAGTTGTGTTTCCATGCTTCTGAGGCTCCAACTTGAGTTGCTGCGCCTCTGATTGAAACGGTCAGAGCATGAGTTATCCCAAGTCACAAAGGCCCTGGAGAGCAAACTGATGGGTGGGCTCAATGGCCCTCCACTGCGCTTCTCAGGCTGGATGCGGCTGTCCTGGAAGCAGTGGTCTTAGCCTTTGCCAGGGTAGGAGGCTGGCTCTTGTTAGAGGCCCTCTGGGGCAACTCCCTCTTTCTCCCCATAATTAATACCACAGGTGGTTTCCCTGGTGGGCAGCAAGAAAACCCTGAGAGTGGAAAGGAAGGGCCCAAGCCTGCCACAGGGAGCCCAAGGGGAAGAGTGGGTGTTTGAGACCTTTTGCAGGGACAGAGAAGAGGGCAGCCATGCACATGTCCTTGGTCCTCTGGGCAGCGTTACAGAAGCCAGTGCTCTGTGCCCTTTGCCAGCTGTCCTTTGGGATATGCAGCCTTGCCCAGGACAAGGCAGGCAGTGTCAGAGCACATCTCACATCTCCTGGGGTGAGGAATGGTTCTGAGTAGGCTTTAAAAGGGAAATGTTGGGTATCAATTACTTCTAAAAAGTCCTACCACAGGTCTACAGGTTTCTCTGTGGGTGGGAAGACCACACCCCTTAGGGAGCATCCTGGCCTCTGGGGCCCCTTGGGAATCCTGAGCCGTCTTGTCTGGTAGTTCTGATTCCCCAGGAGAGAACAGACAGCTGAGACCCGGGGGCTCTGCCACCTGGAGACGAGTTAAAAGCACAACCTTCAGGGCCTGGCATTTGGCCTGCTCCCCACAATTCATTCACTGCAAAGTACGCAACACTGAGACCAAACCAAGGAAGCTGGTGGCTGAGGCAGACCCCAGAGGGAACAGGAGGGCTGGCTGGACCAGCGCCCTCCATCCACTGCTGGCCCCATGGTCCCACTGGGCCACACTCCCTTCTGTCTAAATTGTTATCTTTCTGCCCCATGACAGGCTCTGTCAAAGGAAGCACACCCACAACCCCTTTGGGGAGGAACATACCTCCAAGCTGCAGATGGGATAGTTCCAGGAAAACCCACCTGAAAGGATGGCCCCTGGGGCTGAGCTCAGGAGGCTACTCCATGTAGACCCCAGACAACTTCTGGGGAAGGAAGAGACAGATATTAATGATCTCCCCAAGGGTCATTTCTCCTTGCTGGCTCTTCTCTACAGAGAATGAGACAAAGCTCATCTCCCATCTGAGTCCACCCGTCTTCTTGATAGGGCCCTCTACTTGAAGACTCTAGGTGGCAAGGGCTGGCCTTCCTGCCTCCTCTTAGAGCAAGTTCTGCTCAGGCAGGCAAGGCCCCGGGACATTCACCTTCCCAGTAGCCATGGTACCAGCTGGCCTCCGAGTGGCTCATCTGCCTGTCCCCTGGAGGCAGGTTCCAGGCTGTGGGCCAGCAGCAGGGCTCTCTGCTTTGCTAAAGGAACTTGCAGCTTTCTGGCCCACCGGGGGGCAAAGAGGGGAGTGGAGGCCCTGCTGGGTCCCCTGGTCCCTACAAAGAAGTGAGGAAGCGGCCTAGGCAGTGAGGCCAGAGGAGGAGCTGGTATGGCCACAGGAAGGGAGCCCTGGTTCAGAGGCAGTACTAGTGAAGACAGAACATAGTCCCTCCAAAGAGTCAGACTCTGAGGGTTCACAGTTCTTCCCAGGAAGCCTTATCTCCTAGAATTCACGTGGCCCATGCAGGGACTTCACCCCAATGGGAATCTGCTTCATCACCCAGCACATGGCTGGCCTGACCCAAAGGACTGTGGGAGAAGTGGAATGTTGTTGTTAAATGCCATCCAGTCGGTTCCGACCCATAGTGACCCTGAACAGGGTTTCTGAGGCTGTAAATCTTTACGGGAGCAGAAAACCTCATCTTTCTCCCACAGAGCAGCCGGTAGTTTCGAACTGCTGACCTTACGGTTTGCAGCCCAATTCATAACCACTACATTACCAGAGCTCCTTGAAGTAAAATATACAGATCCAGTAAGTTCTTGGAAGCTAGCGCTTCTTACCAGTGGAAGGTTTTACAGGAAGAGCATGCGTATCAGAACCTGACCCAGAGTAC